AAAAAAAAAAAAGTAAACCACAAACTAGTCTCCAAATAATGCATGTACCATATTATTTCCAAAGCCAGCCTAAAAATAAAATAGATGTATACTGACTGGGCCCCACCTGACCTTGATGTAGCAGATTGAGAAGTGCGGGGAGAGCAGGCAGGGGCCATCACCAGCCCCCGGCAGCCCTACCCTGTCGGGGAGGCAGGTGGTGGTGGTGCAGCCGCAGTCATTGGTGAGCGTCGAGGCCAGGTACCCGAGTGGACAGCTCGCCGTGGAGTTGGTACAGCTACAGGCACACTCGTACTCAGCACAGCACTGGGTCTCGCGCAGGGCCGGCGTCCGGTGTGGGGGGCAGGAGGGCAGGGACGGGCTTCCGCACTCCTCCTTCCTACAGGCTGAAGGTGGCACGGGAGATGTGCTAGGGCTGGGCTCAGCCGGGGCATGGGTACCGGCGGAGACATGGGCTCAGGGAGCCCCGCACCAGGTGAGGTCAGCTGGGCACCCACTGGCCAGACCAGCAGGAAACCCACCTGGAGCAGCTGGTCTGCAGGGAAGTGCAAACCCCAGGGTGAGGGTCTTGTGTGTCCGGGGGTCCCCCAAGGAGAGGGAGAGCCCCACACCAGGCACATCCATCGGGGAGCAGGTGCTCCCAGCCGCTGACCCTGAGCAGCACCACACGAGACTGCCTAAACCCCAGCAGGTGTGGGCCCAGCGTTTTAACATATCAGCAGCTCGAGGGACCTCATCCCCCTCTGGACTGAGGACGACACCCCACAGTTCTAGGCCCCCAATGTGGAGTGAACAACAGCCAGCACACTTGTCAAATTCACAGAGCCATTTTACAAGTACAAGACCCATCCCTGTGTCCTTTACCTATTTCCAGCCGTCCCAGTGACAGACTGGGTGCTTCCCTTCAGCCCTGAAAGGTCTGCCCTGAGGAACTCAAGTGAGATTCCAGATCCACAGGATGAGAAGTGCTCACTTAAAAGGGATCTTATGCCCTCAGCAGCTAAATACAGAGCCATTTCTTGCCATGTCTTACTTTAGCCCAATCCTATGCTCAAAATTATAGTATTTTGTGGCTAATATATAGCCCTGCTATTAGGTCTCCCTCCCTCCTTCCCTCTCTTTCTCTCTTCCTTTCTCTTCTTCTGGCTGGCAGGAAGTAAGCAACTTTTCTCTACCATGCTCTTCCATGCCATTCAACCAAAGACTGAACCACTGAAACCATGAGGCAAAACCCTCTCCTCCTTTAGGCTGTGGGTGTCTGGTGTCCTGTTCCAGTGATGGGAAAGGGACTGATACAGGTGGGGTCTGGAGCCTTCCTCTCCCCTACCCAAGTGATTTTTGCTGCTTGTACCTGTGCCCCCATCTGGAACACCTGCAGGTGTGTGCAGCTGGGAGGGTTTGATCTGGGTGTGACTTTAACCCTTCTGTTCCAAATGTACCCCAAGCCCAGATTCAGCTGACTGGAAGACGGCAATGAGATTGTCTCAGACTAGGTCCCCAAGAAAGAAGACAGCTTCCCCAGGCCAGCAGAGCATGGGCACTGTACCCCTGCACCCACAGAGGCCTTACCACAGGTGAAAATGGGTCTGCACTCGCCAGGGTTGGTGAGGGTTGGCTGGAGCCCTCCTTCACAGGGAGGCACTGGGGGAAGGTGGCAGCTCACCAGGTCACACACTGAGGGGAGAAAGCGGGGCCACATGGAACTCAGGGGGGTGCTCTGCATTAGCTGCGAGAAGGACCCCGATTCCTGCTCATGTAGGTGTCTACTATGTAGCTAATGGTGGTAATCAGTAAAGACAGGAGATAGGATAGGGACGGGGAGACAGGATGGCTAGAGGATGGATGGATGGACAGATGGATAGGTGGACAGACAGACGGATGGATGGATGGGTGGGTGGATAGATGAAGGATGAATGGGTGGGTGGAGGATGGACATATGGATGGATGGATGGATGGATAGGGGATGGATAGACAGACAGATGGATGAATGGATGGATGAACAGACAGATGGGTAGATAGATGGAGGATGGATAGGTGGATGGACAGATGGAAGGATGTGTGGGTGGAAGATGGAAGAATGGATGGACAGATGGACAGATGGATGGGTGGGTGAAGGATGGATGGATGCATGGAAGACAGATAGGTGATAAATAGATGTCACATGTTAGGATCACACTGGCAATCCTTATCATCTGATGGGACTTCCAAGTCTCAGCCACACTGGACCTCAGTTTCTTCTTCTGTAAGGCAGGAATTCCACCTTATTGGGTTAATCTGAGGATTTCATGGAACACTTTGTGGGAATTTCATAACATCTATAAAACAGGGGCTTGATAAAGGCCCCCTATGGTTCTCTCTGCTGCTAACATCCTAGATGTATGCATAAAACTGTTCTCAAGTCAGATCCCCCTCCCTGGGTGAGTTCTGACAAATCCCACCCGCATGAGTAAATTTCTCAGGTACTAAATTCTGCTCAAGATCCCCAGGATTTCCCTTGATCTGGATGCTCGCTAAGATCGGCATCACTGGAAGTCTGTGTGCCAGTGCTTCTGCCTCCTTCCACACCAGCGCTGAGCACGTTTACAGGACGGGGCCGAGTGCGCCCAAGACTCCCTGTCCTGGTGACCATCGCTCCATCTGTCCTGAACTCACTGAATTACAGCACTGGTCATCCTGCCACAAGATCCTCTGTGGCCTACTGAGATCAGGGTTCCTCTGACAGCCTTCCCTACAGCCAGGGTCCTCAAAATCTTACAGGAAAGGAAAACGGGTGACTTGAGTTTGAATCATTCTTCTCTATACCTCTGCAGCCCCCCGTCATCACCCTGATCTCCTACTCTTTATGTACTTACTGGTGGCAGGGGAACCCTGGGCAATCCCGACCCCAAGCTAGAGCCTCACACTTCACGACTGCTCTTAGACTCCGCGTCGGATGCTCTGCTCTGGAACTTTCCTAGGGAGGTGTCCCATTCTGTGGCAGCTGCTGTTAGCTCCCAGCCCTGACTCTCCTCCTCTCCCACCCCGTGCAGGCTGGGCTACGCCCCGCGACTCCTACCGCACTCATACTCCGGGCAGCACTGGCTTCCGCTCTGTCGGAGGCGGGCCACTTCACATGGGCCACACGTGGGAGCTGCAAGAGGAGAACGGGCACAGGCGTCACAGAGATGGACAGCGGTGGGTCCCCTGTGTTCTTGTTTGCTGAAAGCCAGCCTGGCCCGCGACTGGGACAGAATGGGTCTCCTGGATGTCCCACTCCACACCCTCCTCTTGACCCTCTAGGCGACACCGAGGCTGGTGCGAGCTGGGGGGTGGGGCGGAGTTAGATCTGAGTGTCCTCTCCAGGCATAGCCCAGGCCCCAGATTCCAGTGAGGGAAACACAGGCAGTCAAGGGCACCAGCTCCCTGTGACTGCGGGGACCCAGTCTGCCACGTGGGCCGCTCACCTCGGGCCGTAGGGCAGGGCTGGGATGTGCAGTTGATCTTCCGGCCACTGAGGCAGGTGCAGATTTGACAGGGCTGATGCTCTGGGACCCAGGATTCCAGGAACTGTGAGAGACGGGGGCTCAGCGAGGGCTCAGGGAGCCCAAGGTGCAGAGCCCTGGGTGCCGGTGTCCAACCCTGGCTGGGCTCCTCTCCCAGGGCTGGTCTGGAGCCTCCCCATGCCACACGGGTGAGCAGAAGGGAGCAAGAAAGAGACAGTGAGTTCCAGGAGGGCAGGGATTCTCAGAAAGACCACCACCAGGCGGTTCTGCACACTAGTCTTTAGAACATAGCTCTAAAGTGACAAACCATAGCCTTTGGAAAACTCTGGCTGCACAGGAAATGCTACAGAAAAATCAACAAATGAGAACACATCAAAGTAAAATTACAAAGTTTCTGCACCATGAAGGAAACTGCCAACAGCGTGAAGAGACAACCTACAGAGTGAGGAAAAAGACTGCCAGCTACTCCTCAAACAGAGCACTGATATCTACAATGTATAAATAACTCAATTAGATCCCTCAAATTTAAAGACCCAACCCAAAATTATGCATCTGAAATGAGCAGACTTTCCTCAGATGAAGAGGTAGAAATAGCCAGTAAGTGCATGGAAAAAATGCTCAACATTGTTAGTCATTCAAGAAATGCAAATTAAAGCATTGAGATTCCCCCTCACTCCAGAAAGAATGGTCATCATCAAGAAATCCACCAATAACAAATGCTGGCAAGGCTGAAGAGGAAAAGGAGCGCTTTTCCATTGCTGGTAGAAGTGTAAATTGGTACAACCACTGTGGAAAGCAGCATGGAGATTCCTCAAAAAACTAAAACCAGAGGTTCCATTTGACCCAGCTATTCCCCTTCTAGGTACCTTCCTGAAAGAGTTAAAATCATCACACCACAGTGACACATGCACACCCATGTTCATAGCAGCACAATTTATAATAGCTCCATCTTGGAAACAACTTATATGCCGATCGACAGATGAATGGTTAAAGAACACATGGTATTCATATACAATGGAGTACTACTCTGTTGTGAAGAAGGACAGTCATGTTTAGGTAAATGGATGCACCTCGATACCATACTCATAAGTAAAATTAACCAGACATACAAGTTTAAATATGGCACTGTTTCTCTTGTGTGAGAAACAAAGCATAAACAAGAAACAACATGGAAGATAGACATTAGGAAGTAGGAAGAACTTGTTCAAATGGGAAGGGGAATAAGCAATGGGGAGGGGAAAAGGAGGGGGAAGGAATTTATAGGAAAAAAGAACTGAAGGAAAAATGAAATTAGAGCTTTTGTTAATGGGGAGGGGAAAAGGGGTTCTGGGAGGAGATGGGGAAGGGGACTGTCATGGCAGTGTCTGGAGGTCCCCCAAGGCCTCCTGCGGTCACAGGTGGGGCTTTTTCAGAGGTGGCTGGCTGGAGAGTATGCAATACCGGGATTGGTTCATGGTGTGGAGCAAGGATTAAAGGCACCAGGAAGAAGGGAGTGAGGTGAGTGCCACTGCCCTCTGGTGCCTGGGGCTGACACAGGGACAGAAAGAGCTGTGGGCGCCCTTGCTGCTTTGCTGCCTTCTGCCCTCCATGAACTGTTTCTCTTCTGCCATGCAGCCCCACCTTGGAGCCAGCCAATTACAGACTGAAACCTCTACAAACTGTGAGCTAAATGAACTTCTCCTCTTTTAACTTTGGGTGTCCAGGTATTTAGTCTCAGCAATAAGAAAAGTGACTAAGACAGGGACCAAATAAAAGAATTAAATTTGTAATATACACATGCACATCCCCATGAGGAATATGATCACACCTACTACAAACGTGCACTAGAGAAAAAGAAAGAGCCACACACGACCAGGGGCTGCCACACTGGTGAGTGCAACTTTGCTTTACTGACACTTGAGGGTGTGTGAATTAGATCTGTAGCATTCCCTTTCCTGGGTGAAATGGTGGCTTCTGGAATGGGCTCCCATCAGTGAAATTACAGATATGGAAGAAAAGAAAGCCCTGTCCCCCAGGAACACATGGGCTCCCATACAGCTCACCCCTCCATGCCTCAATTTCCATACTCGTGAGGCAAGGGTGCACCGCCTGCCCCAGGACCAGCGTAAGGAGCAGGTCATGGTGATTATTTCCCATCCTGGCACAGGGCCGTGGGCACCAGGAACGGGAGCCACAGGTTAAGTTTAAACTTAAAATGAAAGCCAGGCTAAGTTGCCCCTAAAAACATGTTATTACCCCAGAACCTAAAGCCTCCCCAGGCCAAGGAATCAGGGGCGTAGCTCAGTAGTACAGCACTTTCCAGGGCCCGGGGTCCACAGCCAGCAGACAAACCCAAGCAAGCAACCAACCAAAACCTGCAGGTCGGAAAGGGAAAGTCTTGCTTCCCTTGCCTCCAGCCTGCTGAGCAGAAGGAGATCATGGCTGTCCGGGTAAGACGCACTTTGCGACGGAGCCCTCAGCCTGCCCTGGGAACTTGTCAACGACTCTGTAAACAGCAGCTGCTGCCTCCTGCCAGCATCTGCTGTGTATGCCGATATAAGGGCTTACTATGAAGCCCTCGAGGAATCTCCCTGCCCTCCTGCACTGCAACAGTTTCACTGCTGAGGATGGAACTCAGGGCCTTCACAGTGAGCCACAGCCCTGGTCCTGTTTTAGTTTCTGAGATAGGGTCTTCCTGAGTTGCTAAGTGGACCAGGTTGGGCTTGAACCTGCCATCCTCCTGCCTCAGCCTCCCAGAGTGCATTTTTTATTATTATCCCCCCTTTTCACATAAAAAATCAAAGGCCCTTGCTTTAGGATACAGGGTTACAGCAGCAAAGCTAGGATTTGACCCCATAATTTGTGTTTCGTTCTCTAAGTTCTTCACATTAATGGCTTTATTTCTCCTGTGATAACTCTCTCGGGTAAGCACAGTTGCTGTCTTTGTTTACAAATGAGGCAGAGGATAAAGTACCTTAACCAGGCAGCTCATCAGGATTTGAACTCAGCATTCTGCCCCATCCACCACAGCTCGGCTACCACTACCGCTGCCGCTCCAGCACAGCCACAGGCACTGCAGGTCTGAACAGCATGCCCGCCCGAGGACAGCAGATGGGCAAGTTGAGGAAATAAGGCTCAGCCTCCAAAGCTGAAATAAACTGACCCACCTATGCATGTCATGGAATACTACTTAGGAATGAAAAGGAACAAAAGCCACAGTACATGGATGAAGATCAAAAAGCCCTGATTTGCTAAGTGAAGGAAGCCAGGCAAAGGAGGGATACAAACTGCCCGACTCGGGTTCTATAAAATTCCAGACAAGGTCCATGGATGACAGAAGTAGGCTGTGGGTGCCTGGGTTTGGCAATAAAGGACTGCGCGAACCTCTGGGAGCAGTGTAAATTCATGATTATAGTGCCGGTTAAGTGCGTACGCACACGTTGAAACTATCACATTTCACACACTGAATACGTGCGGTCTGCCGGGCAGACAGGCACCTCCATAAAGCCGTTTGGAATGGAAAAGGAAGGAGCTGCAGGACAACAACTTTCACAGGTCGGGTGCTCCGGGTCTCTTTAGAAGACGCGTGGAGAGGATTCCCGGCAGGGACTGGGGGCTGTGAGGTAGGAAAGGATGATCCGGGCAGTGGGGCTGGCCGGGGTGGCCCGCAGAGGGATGGGTGGGGCCCTAGCAGCCACTGTAGGAGGCCAAGCCTCACTTGGGCAGGTGTGGCCCTGAGATCTGTGGTAGGACCTCCCTGCCGCACCTAGACAGCCAGCAGTGGGCAGGACGCTCAAAGGACACAGAGAAGCCAGGACCCCACCGAGCAGTGCCTGCTGTCCGGCCTCTCCAGGCCTGGGTGGAGCCGCAGAGCCAGGCAGGAAGTTGAATGGCTAAAGGGGGCGATGAGAAGAGAGAGTCCTGGCTCTGTGTCCTGGTTTTCTTGTCCCCTCTCTCTTTACATATGGACTTCAGGCGTTTAATTCAAGAATAACTTTTACGGCCGTTGCGGCACCTGCCTAGTGTGTCAGGCCCTGGGTTCAATCCCCAGCGCCACAAAAAACAAAACAACTTTGCAGCTACTTTGAGGGTGCAATTCAAAAGCCGATGACCCAAAGTAGGTGTCCCGCCTCCTTCTCTGGGATTTTCTTCTTCCAGGAAGCCTTAGTGGAGCCCACCCGAGGCAGGGCCTGGAAGCAAGGGCTCGGCCTGGGAAGCGCAGCACAGTCAGGCCCTGGGTTCAATCCCCAGCGCCACAAAAAACAAAACAACTTTGCAGCTACTTTGAGGGTGCAATTCAAAAGCCGATGACCCAAAGTAGGTGTCCCGCCTCCTTCTCTGGGATTTTCTTCTTCCAGGAAGCCTTAGTGGAGCCCACCCGAGGCAGGGCCTGGAAGCAAGGGCTCGGCCTGGGAAGCGCAGCACAGAG